AGACCAGGCTGGCCTCGAACTCACAGAGATCCGCCTGCCTCTGCCTCCCGAGTGCTGGGATTAAAAGCATGCGCCACCACTGCCCGGCTTTTATTCATGGTTCTCATATCAGCTGGAGCAGTCTGAATTTCTACTTTGGTTTCCATGACTTCTTCAGCTGTCATTTCTACCCTCTTAAGATCGCTTTTGGAGCCACTCCCCATCTCCATCACAATGAACAAACACCATCTTCTTCTTTTTCTGTGAGCTGGATTCTCCTGGTCTCTGTGGCGGGCCTATTGCTGTGTTCCTTGAAACCAGAGTGGAAATTCACCTCACTGGTCACTTGAACACAATCTCCTGTTATTTTTTTCCCCCTAATGTAGGCAGAGTCTGACTGTGTAGTCTAGGCTGCAATTGAATTCTAAATTCTCCTGTCTCAGCCTCCAGAGAGCTGGGATTACAGACATATATTAATGGCTTTCTTTATGAGATCTTAAACTGGGAACTTGGTATTTATTAAAACATCTTCTTTTTGGTCACATTCTGTTTAGCTTGGTGTTCTTGTGGGATTCCTAATGCTGGCAGTGGGGTTGTCTCTGATTCTTTCTCTTATTCTTAGGTCCATTTTCTTCCTACTCTGTTGCCTTGTCTACCCTTGATATGAGGGTTTGTGCTTAGTCTTATTGCAACTTGTTATGCTGTGTATGGTTGATCACTTGGAGGCCTGCTCTTTTCTGAAGGGACACAGAGAAGCAGTGGATCTGGAGGAGACAGGAGGTGAGGGGGAAATGTGGGGGTTAAAGAGAGGGGAGGTGGCAGTCTGGAGATGTATTACATGAGAGAAGAATAAATAAAAAGAAAAAAATCTTCTGAAGAGATCTTTGGAGATCATGGAGGTTGGGACACTTGATGAGCCCCCCTCTTTTCTTAGGAAACCCCTCTTTTGTTGCTCTAGTTCTCAAAATGAATCTGGTCAGATCATTTTCTTCCTGTCTTTAGTTGTTTAATGGATTACAATCTTGGTAGACACTGGGTAACAATGTTTTCTGTTAATTTCCTTAGTCTTACTTTGCAACAATCACTTTAAATTGCTCAGTTTATTCTCTGTTTCCTGCTGGGCCTCTGAGGCACATGTTGGGTAATGAGCACTTAATAATCACCAGCTACTATTGCTACTGAGGACATCACTTTCCACTGAAGGGACTCCTCCAGGTAGAGGAGAAATAAAGCCAAAAGGCTAGGAGACATGTGCTTCAAAGAATATACATCAGACAAGAAGGGACAACAAAACATCTCAGTGTTCACCTTCATAACCTGCTCTGCCTCACTAAGGAAGTCATAGACTTTCCTCATCACCACCATCCTACACTGTCCTATATGACCTGTCAACTCCACTCATTACCACCACCCTCCTCCTTATGCTTCCCTTGGTTACCTTGGAGATCCACAAAATGAGGAAGGTACACAGCAGCCACAGCTCCCTGCTCAGCCTTGATGTCAAACAGAGGCCCAGCCACCATGTGACTGTGCTGCAAGGGAGTCTTGTCCAGGTGTTGGCTCCAGGCACAGAATCCAATCTCGATGGTCACGGCCCTTGTCACCACAAAGCAGAGTCCTATGTTGGGACAGTGGTAGGAACCAGGCACAGGGAACTGAACTCTAGAAGAGGGAGAGGCAGACACCAGTGAACATCAGCTCTGCTCCTCTGCTGGGTGCAGACCCAAGGCAGGACTGGGGACACAACAGACTTCAGCCAGATGGCTCTGAGGTCTGGTTCCTCTTCTAGCTATCTGTGGATCCCTGACTAAGTCACCTAACCCCCAAATCTGTTTCCTCATCTCTACATAGGGGTAACAACGTCAACACCATCTTATGGACCTATGAGTACTGAGTGATCTAATGCAAACCTACAGGTAATTCACACCTGGAGCAGTTAGCTATGCCTGTGATGATGAAGTGTGTGTGCCTGTGTGTGTGTGTGTGTGTGTGTGTGTGTGTGTGTGTGTGTAAGTTCTGTGGATCAAGCTAGGACCTTGCACACTAACCAAAGGCTCTACCACTGAGGTACATCTTCAGTTTTTAGTCTTTATGTTCCTGAAGTACATATGTAAGTGTATCTAAGAGGCAAGAGCAGTGAAATATAATGAGGGGACTGATGCTGTTTACATCATGAATAAAATAATCTGCAGAAAAATCACAATTCAGATAATAAAGGAAGCTGAGCACAGACTGTTTAGATGGAATGAAGGACTCTTGTCAGCTCTGTTGATGTGGTAATGGTGTGCTGGTTGTGGAAGATGAGGTCCTGTCTTAACTGTGGGGGAGGCATAGTGAAATGTTTGTGTGTAAAGTCACCTGATGTCCTGGACTCACAATACTGTGACAGTGATGACCAAGGGGGAATGTGAGTAGTTGAAACAAACTTGGAAAAATGGTTGCTGGAGCTCAGTGATTGGACAGGGAAGCTTTTGTGCTCTCCTGTTTTGTAAATGTCTGAAAATTTTTTATGATAAAGATCCCTATTTTTATAATAGCCCACACTTCTTTTTCCAGTCCTGGCCTTGTGACCTGCCTTGGTGAGGTGAGGAGACACAGTAGAGACTAGGTGGGTGCTATCTGTGGGGATCCCTTGTGGACAGTGTGCTGGGGAAAGTCAGTCTTCGCTAGGCAGAGCTCACTCACCGGTACAGGTTCCTCTCACTGTCAACCACCTCAGTAGTCACAGGTCCTGTAGGGCCCCAGAAGTCATCTT